CAGTTGTTATTCCAGTAACGTCTCTCTCTTAAGCTGCAGCTGCCAACTCTGTTCAAATGTGTGGTGGTTTTCTGCTGTGGGCAAAGTGCCACTACCACTGAAGCTGGTTCCATGAAACTCATTTCATGGCCAAATGCTGATTTCTTTATCTGTAAGTCTTTTTAGATGCTTAATAGATACTTATACTTAATAACAGAAGTATACCAAAAAATGAGCTCTTTTTTTTTTTTTTTTTTTTTTTTTTTTTTCCTAAGCAAGGAATCTGTCTATTCCTGCAAGGATTAATGCTACACCAAAAGGGAAACAAAACTCATCCACATTATTCCTGTCTGTATGGAATTAACAATAATGAAAAGAAAGCACCTCAACTTTTGCTGTGGGGCGTCTGGTAGGTTTATGTGTTCATCTTAATAACTAGTTCCTTAAGGATGGCAATTCACATTTCCCCTGGAAAACCTGCTGTAGACAGCAGAGTTGACCAGCAAGAGACATGACCTCTTCAAAATCTACCCAGTGTTCCAGTAAGAAGCAAAGACCAGATTTGGTAGTGGGAGACTGCCCACCAGAGTAACATACTCATTATGCTTTCATCCTCCATCCCACTTCCTTCATTGTAAGGGTGAACAAATTTAAACTGATGGGATGATGTAATTTTGTAAGTGTTATTATGAGTGCACCTGCCTACTTTCTATATAGCAAATATAAAGATAACTGTCTATCTTATATAAACTGGTATTTATTTATACACTGAAGTTTATCTTCGAGTTTGCAGACTTTTACACAAAATGGAAATATGAGTAGTTAAAAAATAGATTAGTAGGTCGGAGTGGTTAATATACTGTCATGTATCAGTGACAAACCGACTTTGACTGAGGTGACCACTATGCTTTGGAAGAGCCATGTGACCTACATTTTTTCTTCTGTATCATAATAGATGGATGTTTTGCAGGCAAGTATGGTAGCTGACCACCTCTGTAGGCTATAAATTCATAGGTCCAGGCAATTTGAAAATCATGTTTATTTCTCAGAAGTCTCAGACAATTTTTCCCATGATTATTTCTGGGGTACATGCTTCTTGTCCTAAGTTTTCACACCACTCTAAAAGAGGTATAGCATTAGAGCAATAAAGGATAGAGTACAGCAGGACTAAGAGGAAAATGCAAAATTACCACAGACACTGTAATACAAGTTTCACATAGACACCACAATGTAAGTTTCACCATTGTAAAATATTTCAGAATGAGCATTGTCCTTCTGTACCAATCTTAGAGACTGACAAAGTTAAGTTGCCTTAACTTTGGATTCTTCCAAGCTAGTATGCAATTCTTCTCAGCAGAGTTAATTAGCTTAGGCATCCAACCAGCAATTTTCACAGCAAACTAACCCAATTATCTCTGCATGATACGTCATTGGGTCATGCCTGAGCCCAGAAAATGTTTGTCTACATATGGGAAAAATTTACTGCAGGTTGTGCCATTGAAAACAACAGTGGGCCCTCCAGGGAGAGGGATAGTTCCCTTCTGCTGTTCACAGTATGAATATCTGAACTAATAACCACATAGAGAATACCCTGTTATTTTCTTATTTATTTATTTATTTATTTATTTGCCAATTACCATTCAAAAAAAAAAAAAAATCAAAATCATTACAAGTAAGGAGCATGAGGAGCCCAGGGTTCTAACTTCTAGAATGCAGAATAAAGCAAAAGATTTTTGACATCCATTTCAGAATTATCTAGCAATTTTGTCACGGTAAAGCAACTTCACTAACTTGATAACCACTCCAATTTAAGCAGAATGGTACAGATTTTCTACCTTTCATTGGAAATGCTGATGAGTTACTGGAGGCTCTGGAGAGACTCAGAGCTTCCAGGGAAACTTCTGACACCACAATTATACTGACCGTATGGTATTCTTCTCAACTGCCAAATGCCAAAACCCAGAAATCTGTGATAGTTTAGGATCTGATAGTTTAGGTCTTCAAAAGGCTAAGATGGGCCACTGACCAACTTTCTTCGGCAACAGTTACAAAAGTTGTTTTACTTTAACTAGTACAACATGCAGAAGTATAAAGAAACTTGTATCATATAAAGTGTAAGGGGGAATACATCATATTCTTTAAACACTTGAGTTCATGTAATTGCACTGATAACAAACATATCCAGGGTATAACATGCAGTCATTACGTTTTATATCGTCAGGAAGTAGAAATTAAAGAGATCATTTAATTATTTCTGTTCAAGTCATTTTTCACACTTGGATTTTAAATATCCATCACTCCAATACTAAAAGACAAGACACTAAATTGATTATTTTGCTCTTAACCTCATGTGAAACAATATCAATTCAGTCCATTGAAAAGTTATCTGCTTTCACTGTAGCCATTGTAAGCATTTAGGCATTTCTTTATTTACTATTTCCCAATTTCCAGTGAGAAGATAGGAATAGAATAAGACTTTCACTGAAAACCTCTCTTTCTCAGCCTTTATGGAAAATGAACCTCACTCACATAACCCATATCAATCCATAATCTCAAGGAGTTTTGAATCATGCTAGCAAGCCTAGTGTTATTCCAAATATCTTTAAATTTGTAGCAAGCTCAGAAATACTAGTGTAAACCAGATATAAACCTTTTCTGACAAAAACATCTATTACCATTCTAGAATACTGCTTGATAATATACCGTTGCAAGTACGGACTGGTCTTGTGTCAAAGATCCCTGAAGAAATAGAGTCAGTGCTCCAGATTCCTGTCTTTCTTTTCGTACAAAATAATTATCCTCTTGCAGCTGCTGGGACTTGCCCTTCTAGATTTTTTTCAGTACTTTGCCAATGTTACAGTAAATGACAGCATGACGATTTCAGCACATTTCAAAGACTGTGCAGTCAACAAAGATACCCCTCTCTGAAGGCATGTTGTGCTTTGTTCATTAGTTATACCCACAGATGTTATAATGTCAGTTTTGCATTGATCAGTGACAAAATTTTTCTTTCATTCTCTTGGAAATTCAATTCCCCTGTAAAATCTGAAATTGGATACTGCATGACGCACTCAACACAAAGTCTGAGGTCTTTTACATTTTCTGGCTCATGCTCTTCCTCACAGAGTTGAGGAGAAGTATCAGCATGGGAGCCCTCTGGCTTTGTGACACTACCAGAACCACACACATTTCTCTGGCAAATCAAGACAGTGAAGTTAGTTTCCAGCAGCTGCCCTCAGAGCAAATTTAGTTTTTACTTCCCATACCTCTTACAGAGCCAGTTGTCGGGTATTCCCTTGCTCTTAGAATAACCTCAGCTCTGTACATGATTTGGAATACCTTGGGATGAAATAGAATATCCTGTATTATATTGGATACTAAGGTCCTTAATTTATTAGACACTGATGCATAAAATTAGCAGGAGAAATACTTTAAAATACAAGAGATATCACCTCTGAGAAAGTCCCACTAGTTAGTCCGACTTTTGGTGTAACCCCTTAGAGTCATTTTACATTCCTAGCAGTTCCCCTGTAGAGTACAGTATAACTTCTTATTCTTGCATATGTACATACTAGATGACATAGATAAGAATATGTCTACTGGAAAAAAGATCATGTTCTCTTCACTCTTCCTAAAGAATAATTCGCACTAAGGACAAGCTCCCCAGTTTCAGACCAAAATGTTATAAAAATGCCAAACCAAATAACAAACCAACTTGTGAAAACTTTCAGCTGTAGGCAATTTTTTTTTTCTTCTTGATATCTCTTCTTTTTCTCCTTTTTTTTTTTTCCTTTCTTCTAATGGTTAATAACATTTGCATGCATATAACTTCCTTAGAGCTACAGTATTATGCACTCAACAGTATTTTAGCTGTAGATTATAGTTGACATGATAAAGGATCAAAAGTGTATCTTTTCTGTCAGCTTGTGCCATTAAGAACCTCTAACCATGGATCACTGATGTAACAGATCATTACGGTCCATTGTGTCAGTTCATCTGTTGGGATCTGTGCACTATAGGCATGACAGATTTCCTCTGCAGCAATTATAGTCTATTGTGACAATAGGATTTAATGAATATAAACAACAAACCACATAATCTGTTATTACAGAACACAGCTATGCACCCAGATGGGAATTACGTTCCTAGGCATTGCCAGTTGCAGCTTTTGTAATTGTGACTATTTCAGTCATTGTGTTTTTAACTGTAATACTCTAATTTACCACATATATTTATCTCAGTCCTGGCAGGTGAAAGGTACTCAGAATTTAAAGTCTAATCCTTCAAATGTTCCATGATTTTATTTTTTTCTGAGTAAAAAATTATCTTTTATTTTTTTAGACACTTGCTGCTGACTTTTGCTGTGATACTAATGGTGCTATTAATGTTTCAGTGCTACCATTGTAGATGGAACAAGCGAATACACTAAAATTGGTCACAGAAATTAATGAAGCATAGCAGAACATTCCTGTATTGTTTCCAAAGAATAGACACTTCTGCTCAATATTAATTTTTACAAATGATGGGCAAAGTGCTACATCAGCACAAATCTGTAAGATCACAATGATGGGAATTTTGCTGATTGATGCAGCTGAAGGCCTGACATAGAGGCTTTTGATATATATTTGTGAAATTAATACTCTTTTTAAAAGCACATAAATGCTCTATTATATTAAAGCTGTGCAGTCTACAAAAGTTCACATTATCCCCAGGGTGATTTCAAAAATCTGGCTCTGTTACAGAGATTTTCAGCTTTTTAATATGAGTTCTGGGCTTGAGTATATCAGAGGTCACAATTATAGTGTGGTATTGCTGTATTTTCATCTATGTAGATGGGCACTACTGGAATATATATATACTTTAAGTAACAGAAAATTGCATGTAAAGAATAAATTAATGAGGACTACATGTGGATTAGCTATATAAATGCCACAACACTTATCATGTACTTTTGAGGGGAAATCTCCAAGTAAACATATTTCCACACACTTCTTATTATCAAGAGGAGAAAAGACTCTTACCTAGCATGCGAACACATTTGGCATTCTGATCAGGACTATCAAATGAGATTTCTCCGCACCTCTGGAAAAAAAAGGAAAAAGATTTAGTTAATATATATTTAGTTAAATCCTCATCCTCTGATATATCTCTTTACGTTTGGCACTAGAAATGCTCAGAGCCATGATGATAAAATGCAAAAATCAGAATAATTTCAAGTAGTCAAAGTTAGAGGAAAAATGGACATTGTTAATAGATAAAGATGGGTCAACTCTGTACTCTAGGGAATTCACCAGGTATTCACCAGGTACATATGGCTTAAACAACTGCCTCATCTCTGTTACTATTTGTTAGCATTGGTCCAAAATATGCAGGAGGCCCTCATTTACCACTGGTTGGTATTGCAGCCCCCTCCATACACTGATTTAGTCGTCACATGGCTGCACCCTAACCATGAGCTGTGAAATGATCCAGCTGAAAATAAAACAAAACAGAAATGTATCTTTTATTTTGGCTGTCTTTAAAAATGCAGTCATTTCCTAACCATGATTCAGAGCATCATTTTGTGAAGGACTGAAATGATAGAAGGGTAGAGGGTGTGGCAATCTCTGTCATGGACAAGTGATGAGAACAAGCAGATCAGGACAGTGAATCACCTGTATATCAGATCTGCCACTAACAGGGACAGGAGCATGAAGCCACAGCCTTTCAGTGTATAAACAGTTAAGTTTAGGATTCCACTCCATACTGCTGCTTTGCCTATGGTTGGTCCAATGTCCACTCCAGTGTCCATTCTTTAACCCCTCCTGTCAGAGACCATCTCTTCAGCCAAGCTGATTCAACAAATTGTATTTCTGTAAAATTAGCTTATTTTAAAAACACAGCTCTTAAAATTAAAGAAAACTGTCATTTTGCTGAATTTGAGCTCTCTGTAACACATGTGAGTAAAACCAATTTTTGTAAAGTGCAAATAATTTCTGATTCTATGCTAATGTGTTTTGTCATATTAATTAATATTAAAAAATAATATTCACAGGTGTAGATATATTTGATCAGGGCTGATATTCTGTCCTGATACAAATCCAACGAAGGAACATCATTAGATTTAGGGTCAGAATACAAAACGTTTGGCTGTTTTCAAAGATGAGGCATCATTTGTGAGTCTTTTATGCAGACAGATATGTCAGTTTAGCTGCCAGCAGGAACATAATTGATGTGGCTCATGGGTCTGATCCAGCTCCGATTAAAGTCAGCATACAGAACCCACTCAGTTCAGGAGTGGTTGCCTCAGGCTCTCCAAAAAAAGGTTCATTTTTTTATCAGTACACTCAAAGTTTGTGATAGGCTTAATATTAACCTCATATTCTACAGGTAAAAGCCTCATATAGGACAGCTTCATATTCTATAGATAAAAGTGGTCCATACTTGTTCATTTTCATTTATGCTTTTAGCACCTATAACCAAGTGGGAATAAAAGAACAGTGATGCAAGTTTGGGAAAATCACTGAGAAATATCCATTTCCATTCCTCTTCTTTTCTCTCTTAATTCCTACACAGTTTCTGTTTTTCTGCACATATGCTTTTCTGTTTTATGTAAGACAAAATGGTTATTCCCATCCTTTTTTATTTTTTATTTTTATTTTTTTTGGTTAAAAAAAAGTGCCATTTACAGCAGATAATGTTAAAGTAAAGTAAGTACAGGTAAGTAAAAAATAACAGGGATTCAAAGAAGTTGTAATGCAACAACAGCTTCATAGGTGAATAACACAACACACTTGGAACTCACTGTTTTTAAAATCACCTTCACCTCCCTCATACTGAAATAAATACAAACAAACAAACAAAGGCCCATCTCCTACGCACAGTCTCTTTATATATCAGTACATCTAAAAAGAGAAAACAGACATCTGTACTAGCCTTCCCAGGTGGGAGAGCATACTACTGAAATATTACAAAAAAGAAACAGTATCCAACATTTCAAAGTTAATTTTACAAATGCTCTTATACAGGCTCCTTCTCAGGAGACAAAGAAATTTGCTTTTTATTCTTCAGGGAAGAGTGTTAAGATAGGCGCTTTTTTTTTTTTTTTTTTTTTTTTTTTTTTTTTTATTTTCACATTTCCCTGTGTTTTCTTCATGACCATCAGTATATTTTGACAAACATAGATTTAAGAAAGCACTTCAAAATTCACTGTCCTTCTCAGCCCAGAATTTAAGCCACTCTTTCAAAACTTGTGGTTATTTTTGATTTAGTCCCTCAGATGTATTGTATGTTCCAGACATATTTACATAAACATCACATTTCAGGCTGGTAAATGGTGTCTTACAATATCCAGCAATACTTATCAGTCTTAGTATTAGGAAACTTGGAAAACAGCTAATGTTCTACTGAGTCCACTAACATCCCACAGGATCTATTATAATGATGGATGAACTTTGAAAACTTTGCAAGTAGGATTTAGATAAGTGTATAAAAGTTCATAGGCTTATCTGAATTCCGTCAATCCCTGCAATCCACACAATTGACTGAAAATCATGCAAAAACAACTACATTAAGAGATTTTTACTCCTTTCCCTGCAGCTAGAAATATCACAAGAAAAAAATTCTGCAGCAATTTTATTTCTGATGCCAGTGAAAGCTCATAGGTGTGCATAAATAGGATGAAAAATAAGCTGTTACTAAACTCCTCACAGAATCTGAAAAAGATTTGTTTGGATCTTGGGTGTGTAAAGTGGCACAGAATTGCAGTAGGAGCTCATTTTTGTTCATCTGAAAAATAGAGGTTTTGAGGCATTTTTGCTGTTACCAAATGTTTTCCATGAATGAGAGGGTAAGGAATGACTTCAGGATTTAATTTTCAGGATTAAACTGAGACGGTGTCACCGCTGTTACGAATTCCTGCCAGGGCTGGATAAGCTTCTTCCTGGCCCAGCTCACTTCCCTTTCTGGGTTGGGTTTGTTCCACCTGCTTGTATGCCGGGATGGTACTGAGAGACGAGGCCAAGAGTGTCTCCACTCCCTATCCATTTCCAAACTGGGACTAAAGCAGTGGCTCATTCTCCTCTGTAAACTTCTAAGTTGTCTGCAGAGTCAGCAGTGGACCCACCAGAGCAAGAATAGGAATTTGACATTAGATGCTGGTTATTCTACTTTTTAAATTCAATCAGTCAGAAAGTAAAGGAAGAATAATTCTGGACATATCAGACCTATTGCATGCATGTAGATCACCATATATATCTGTTAGGGGAAGATGAGAGATAAATAAATCCCTTCTAAAGTCTGGCCAAACAGCTCCTAGAACAACTGTGATCCTGTGATTCTGCAAAGCTACTCCTTGTAAGGCAGCAGTTTTGATACTCATATCAATCAGGTCTGGAAGAAAGTATCAGTTTTCCTTACTCATTTTGGATAAGTAAGAATATCAGTGGTGAGCTGTAAACGTGAAATATATTATCCAGTTAGGAAGAGCGTAAACTCAAACAGGAGAGCAACCTCTGAACTTCATTTCTTGAAATGTATGATGCAGATGGATTCATAGAGCTGACCTATAACTGAACATCATTCAAGTTGCAAGGTTTTTCTCTCTAAAATATGATAAATCATGTTCTTGGATCTAAATGATCTCAAAGTGTGGGAATTTTTAAATCTCATTGTGGACTTCATGGTTAGGACTGTTAAGCAGTGATGGGACTGGTCCTGTTATAAGTAGCCCTAGATGCTGGACTGCTGATTTTACAGGAGATTCCATGCTGTAAATAATACCACCAGCTTTCACTTCCCCTGAAGTACAATAACATATATTCTTGTGAGGGAGGATTTATTGCTGAAAATTGAAATGCTGCTGTGTTTGGAAGTGATCAGATTATTTTTTTATTAACAAAGAAATGGGTAAATACAAGTAAAATCAACCCCTCCAAATCTTCATTATAGTTTCATAGCTCTTGAATCACTGAATTCTGGACTAGGCTGCAGGTTGCTTTTTCCCCCCTTTCAGTTAGTATTTTCAGTAACATGGATGCATTTCCACACAGGATTGCAGCCTCAAATTCATTATACATGTGAGAAAGTACTTATGTTTAGATAAGAAAATAAATTAATGGATTTTCTACTCTCAACTCCCTTTCCTGAGATAAGATACACACCCTGATGTAGAATCTGTTACATAAGCTGAAAAGTGGTAAGCTGAAATGGTAAAAAGAGCAGCTTGGAGCTGCTAAAAACAGAGCTTAAAAAACAAAGAGAGAAAAATGAAATAGTTGCAGTCAGAGAACAGGGATGAAAGGATGTGATATTCAGAAAAAAAAAATAAAAAATGAAATGAACTCAGTTCCTTTGATGAGATAAATTAGAAGGCTTGAAGCCAGCCTGCTTGGCTCTGATGGCCCAGTACCACCTGTTGGAAAAAGGAAATACCATGTTACACAGGCACAATCTTCTGTATTAAAAGACTGCTGGAGGAGGGATCTCTCAGGCAAGATGACCTCTTTACAGGACATTATGTGGACTACAAATGAATATAGGAAGTCTTCTGCGGGAGTTCTATGCCAAAGGAGTGTAAGCAAAACTGCAGAAAAGTAGGACACAACTGGTAGAAAAAAACATTCACGCCAAGAGTGGATGGAAAATCTACCCTAGTCAGTTGTGCTAATGTAGCTATGTATCTCATATTACTTTTCCAGTATTATGTGATCATTCATAGGTTGGGTTTCCATTTCCAGCATGCCTGGGGTCACACCACCTGCATTTGAGTCCTTAAGATATGTAGCAATAAAGAGTGTATATACCCAGACAGAGTATGCCCTGTATGCCCTTAGTTTTTTTTATGCTGTGAAGAAAATGATTTCTAGCAAAAAAAAAAAAAAGTTTTTGAAGTCGTTAAATTTATCTTCTATCTGTATGTTAAGTTAGTGCATTACACATTCTAAGCTGAGAGATGCAAATCAAGAAATTGAAATAAATAAACAGGCTCGACTATGACAAAATTCAGCAAGTAGAGGTCTGAAATGTTTGTCATTAGAATTGCAATAAGTGGCATGTTAATTTTCTACTTATTAAATGCATATAATTAACATTTAACTATTTTA